TCAGTCAGTCGTTTCCCATCATGCTTTTGATCAGCGCAGTCAGTGGAGAGCAACTGTGCTCGACTGCACAATCTGACACAGCTGCCTCACCGTTGCGAGAGTTGTTGTTGTTGTTTTTTTTTTCACACGTCAGCATGACATCAGAGCAAGTCGGATGTAACTTGGACACTTTTCTAACCGGCATGCATCTCGCGGTGATCACCGGTGAACGGTTCTGCGCAGATTTTGCTCATCAAACAAGCCTACTGCGAAAGCCTTGATGATGACACATTTAATTCTCGTTGGTTAGATTCTGTGATGAAAAGCACGACGTGTGTTGCGTGCTTATTATAACAATTACATTTTAATGATGCTCACAAATCTGTGTTTTTATAACAGTAAAAGCATTTTTAGTGTAGTCACACTGTTATATTGAGTCATGTTTAAAAAAAAAAACACTGATAAAAGCATATATACCCCCACTTTATTGGTATTTAAATAGCATATGCTAATGTTGAACTTATTCATGAACAGATGGCGCTGTATTAAGCAGTATATAAAAGTGTTTCTGTTGCTTTATGAAAACGTTTCTGAAACGTCTGTGTATTTGACAAATATTGCATTTAATTCACCTCATCTGTGATAGAGTATGCAAACACTGTGAGAGCGTCATTACCAGGAGCAAGTGGCTACTCTCTCCAGCCAGAGGCAGGCTAGTGTAGTTCCTCTCGAACATCCTAGTCTTCGAGCAAGTAACTGCAGCGCTGCCGATAACTTCCGTAACCATGGAAAAAACACGTTAAGCGGCGCGCTCTTGCTCTCACTTGGGTCGCTGAGTGTGCACGCGCATAAGAATCCAACTCTTAACAGTGTAAATAACTCCGAATGCATGAAATTACATTAGACCCCCGTTAAGCACAGCATATTGCAGCGACAAGCGTGTTGCCAGTGACAACAGATAAGTACCGCACATTTGCATAAACTAGCACAAGCATTTAACTGAAAACAACTAAATGAGCCTAAACAACACGGATAGCCTTAGCAACATGCATGTTGCAGATAACCTGAGAGCATTAAATGGAACTTAGCTTGTGAAGATGTTCGAGAGAGTGAAACATAGCAGCTGTGAAGTGGATTCTTGATCTCTTGATATCCTTCTTGGGGATGAAATTCCCATCTGAACTTGTTCTTGAGTCAGTCACATAACTCGTGGAGTCCATGGCAATAATGTAGAGATGCGTGAAGTAATGCTAAACTCAGTCACTTCCGAATCAGACAGCTTATGATCAATGCACTGAATTCACATGTTCATCAAGTTAACGAACTTGAACGAATCGGAGGTGAGACCATTGGGGAAACGAATTCCACTTCTCTAAATTCCCGATTCCTAGTGATGATGGTGTTTTTTCCTGCCGAATTCGCCATTTAATTAGCTATTGAGCAATGCAAAAACTGCTGCTAATACTGAGGGACCTTATATATGAATGCTTAGATAGGTGTCATATTCCCATAGGTAGATGGGGATCAGCTGAGAGTCAGCTGATGCGAGCTTGACTAACGTGACCTGCAAGAACTAACGCAACGCTTGATTTTATGTAATCAATGGAGTTTAATCAATGTTTTATAACCCTTTTTAGTAGATAAGGTTATTAAAGTGTATGCAAGGTGTCTGATATTTGATGTTGAATGAAAGCTTGTTTTATTTCCAAAATGCTGATGTGAAGGAAAATTCGGTATTATAAACAGTGTTCGTTGTACGGCACTTTATAGAAGTATTAACAAAACCTGCAAAGATATTTCCCCACGTGATAAACTGAAGCATCATGCTAATTTATGCACGAAGATTACCTTGGAAGGAACCTTGCGGGGCGTGGCTAAGCCCTGCAAAAGCCGATTGGGACAATCGCTTCTGGGATGGACCAAATCGGCTCACTTAAAACCCAATGTCACGAACTGATTCAGCGCTCTTTTGCCTTTGCGTTGATCGCGCTCCCACGTGCACTCACCATCACGCGAAATCTTCAAAGTCTTTCACCAAAACGCAAATAAACAAACAAAGCTTCATCTCTTGCGGAACTGGTGCGAATTGATCTTAAGCAGTAAAGATAAGCCAAATCTCTGCTTTTGTGATTTTCAGGTTGCGATCTAAGAACTAGTAACAAATACTAGACTTTTGGGACTTCAGTCAAACTCCGTTAACTCTCCTCTTCAGAACTGTATGTGTGTGTGTGTGTGTGTGTGTGTGTGTCTTAAGTAGCGTAGTACCATGTAATCTAGAGTAGCAAATAAATTCTTGTTTCATTATAAGAATCATTGTCTTGTGTTGTGTATCTTAAAGTTAAAACTTTGCCCTGGGGGGTATTCCAAAAAGCAGGTTATGTGACATACCCGGATATCTTTGAGGATAAGCGAGCGGATCACTTCAGCTTTCGGTTCCAAAATCGGAGGTTACTTTCAGGGTATGTCAGTAACCATAGTAATGTGCTCTCTGAAGATAACCTGTTATGTTCCAGGGTTAGTTCACTTCAGCGCACGTGTGATCTACTGTCTCAAGGATTAAAGATTAAACAGAAGAAAAAAAAAATTATTGCACAACCATCAATTAGGTGGCGATATGCACTAAGCATGTGAATGACCATTGAACAAAAGAAGAAAAAAGAAACAGCATGGCGCGCTTTTTCTTAGCGTCCGTTTCCATAGTGACTCGTCGATTCGTCGCTCTGTTGAGAATGTCTTGAGTCTTAACCTGAGTTGAATGAACTTACTCCCGGACACATTTTTGGAACCACATACCTCGAGTAAGCAAGGTTTGGGGTTAATCAACCGAATGTTCAGGGTTTAGCTGACGGTAAGTTAACCATGCTTTCTGGAATACACCCCAGGTTTAAGCCTTTCACTGTTGTTAGAGGTTATGACAGGGCCTACAGAGTAGAGGGCACTGCTGGGTTATAACATCTAGTGTGTTGGCCTTGCTGGGATAGCAGGAGCAGGCTAACTACCTTAAAGATTGAGGAGAAACCTGATTTTGGGGTTTCGCTAGCTGGATGGGTCAGTATTCTATGGGCTAGGCTTAGTGATGGATTGAGGTGATCCAGTCGGGATCCCGTAGCAGCTCACTGTGAACCACTGTGGAGGCAACCGTCGCTTCACCAATTAAGCACTAGAGGGAGTGCTACCTATAGGTAAACACAAATGGCTAGAATACAGAAATTTAATTTGAATTGAAATTCAAACACTGTTTAAACTAAATTTAAATAAGTGAGTGGTAAAGTGAGAGAGAAGAGGGGGAGAGAAACCTGATCAAATAATAAAAAAAAGGAACAAAACAAAAAGAAAATGATAAAAGTATTAAAAGATAAAGTAAAAACAGAAATACTACTAAAATAAATAACTAAAACGGGAGGTACCTAGAATGGAGTGAATGATAATAATGACTAAAGGAGCAGAAGGGAAATACATGGACTTAGGGAGAGAGAGGTCGACCTAGCTGAGAATGCCCACAAGGGGGAGTGGGTGAGCCCCCACAAGGTGAAATCAGGAGGATAGAGGTGGAGTTCAAGAAGTGTTAGATACTTAAACAGCCTGCCCTCTAGTGTTAGTTTAAGGTACTGTGCCTTAACTCCAATCGTGCTTAAAACTGATCGCGTTTAGTGTGAGATTATTCTCATTCTAACGGACAATTTACTGCAGCTATCACAAGAACAATGTGATTTATATCCCAACAGATTCTTACAGTTTGTGCAACTTAACTGCACAATGATGTGTGGCAAGATTTCTTCGCTGCCAGTACACAATAAAAATGATAAGCAACAGGGTTTCTTCGCTGTTGTTATACAAATTTCACTTGATCAAGGTTTTAAAACTCCCATTTACATTCCAATCAGTTACTGGCTCGCAGTGTTCTTATGATCAGATCTGCATTATAGGTGCACTAAGGGAGTGAGGTCGTCTGGTTAAATGAAATTAACACGCAATGACTTCAATCTAGCGATACCTTCTGATAAGGCCTGTAACGAATCAGCTCATGGGAAATATGAATAATTAATCATAACTAGTTATAATTAATTATTCATATTTTAGATCCGGTTAGACAAATAGAGGCTGTTAAAATACAGTACTGAAGGTGGCTTTGAACCATCCAATCAAAAGAGTTTAAAAGTGAGTTTGTGTTGCGACTTGTCTCACTCTAAGCACGCATAATATAAGAACACAAATAAATTCATACTGAGTTTGCTCACAAACAAAGTTTGAATGTGCCCGCATTCTCCACCATAATATGTAGCAAATTAGCTCAAAAGGGAAATATTTATGATTAATTATAACTGGTTATAATTAATAATGCATATTCAGATTAGATCTTAGAATGAACTGTAGCAGAATCAATATTACAATTATTTGATCTGTCTGTCCACCGAGCAGACAATATAATCATTTATCAATTCTAGGAAAGATAATTTTCCTGGCCAAGGAAGAATAGTTTTCCTACTTTATGCAGTACTAGCAGTAGTTTAGCATGTAGCAAAGATCAACATTCAGTGACTCCGAATTGTGAGCAGCACACAGAGACAATCAATTGTGAATATAAGGGATTTAATAAATGAAACTATATCTAACATATAACTAAACTAAGCAAAACACATATATACAGAATGAAGGAAAGTAAGGAAGAGAGAGAGAAGAGCAAAAGAATGGCAGTATTTGACATAAATTAACCACAACCTAATGAAAATCACCAAAGAATCAAAAATCACCTTAAAAAAGGGCTCAAACTTAAACACGCATCTAAATAGTTGTAAACGGTTACTTGCATTGGCTTTGTTGCTGAATAGGACTCCTGATGCGTTAAGACAATGGAGGTTCTTGATTAGTTATTCTAGGAGTGAGCTGGAGGTTTTCCTCTGATTCTTCTGAAGATAGGAAAGTCCACAGTGAATCGACAAAGTTACTTGAAGAAAACAGACCGCCGGAAAATCAAACTCAAGAGGAGAGTTTTGAGGAGTCTTGGAGAGTGTCTGTCTCAAGAAGAAGGGTTTTTAGCCAAGATTAGTCTGAGTTAGGGACTTTTGATAGTTCCTATCCACACCCACCTTTTGGGTGGAATAGCCAATACCAGGCGTGAATTTTTGAGTGGGAGAAGTTTTCTTTGTCTCCCTTTATGGCCCATTTGCATGTTTATGGACGGTCTGGAGGATTGGTGCAGTTTTACCCAAAATATAGTACAAATAGTATGATGCATTTCACGATCACATAGTGTACATCATTGTTTGAGGAATTAAAGAGCAGATCATTTTGATACCAAGAAAGAAACATCTAGAACAGGGGTTTTCAAACTGGGGTCCGCGGACCCTTGGGTGCTCGTGACGCAAAGCCGGGGAGTCCGCAAAATAATTTGCTATACCGTATTTTCCAGACTGCAACATGCCTTTTTTATCTTCTGAAACGTGCTATGATTTATATTCCAAAGTGACTTATATAATTCATTAAATGTCAAATAAGCAAAGCGTAAACACTTAAAAGCGGGCACTTCAAGGTTTATACAGCTAAATATATTTCTCATGTCTGTTTGACAAGTAGAGAGTATCGCAGAGTTTTTCTTAATTTTAGGAAGTGGTTCACATAGACCAAGACGGCAATCACATTTTGTTTGTTTTCTTTGTTTTGTCATTTTATTTATTTTGTCATTTTGAAGGTACACAAATAAAAATAGATTTTTGAATGATGTCTTGCTCTTATCTGACGGATATCACATTTTTCCGCTGATATAAAGAATCCAAAGTGTTTGCGCTGGCGCCTCCCGCACGCACACAACAAATCAGTTCTAGCATTGCAACTTGACATCACAGCCTCATCATCAGTAAACTAAATGAGACAACTAAACCTACAAAAGGTATTTGGTGACTCAATTTAACTTGTCTGTTGTACAATATGTAGGTTTTGCCGTTCAGCGCGAGCATGCTGTGGTGTTTTTCCAAACACTTTTTTGCATGTGAAGGATGCTGTTAGTAGATATTCTGACATGATAGAAGTACAAAGCCTTCTTTACTTAGTAGCCTAATAGTTTAGCAACCAAATGTTAGACTGCATAACGATTCACTCATGGAAACGATTCATGCCGAATGAGAGGTTTGCGAGCCCACTATGTGGTTAAGTTTCAGTTTTTAGTAAGTAAATTTAGTTTGTTATGGACATAGCCATAGGCGCCGATTTGTGTTTCTGCCAGTGGGTGCAAAAAACGAGCATTTTATTTTTTTATAAAACACATTTTCACCGCTGTTTACACAAGTAAATGATAACCGGGCTAAGTTATCATACACATACGCAACAAATGCTTAACATATTTAAACATTCTCATTACTCAGTAATTCATTATACTGGGTGTTAGTTTTTTTCTAGAGTAGGCTATACTCCGTCCGTTTGATATTCACTTCACAAAATTTATCTTGCGAAGTGAATTGCATGCAATTACCAACCAAAATAATACACACATTCTTTCTATAAGGGTTGCGCTTCACTAAATAAAATTATTTAATAAATACCTGTTTACATAAAGCACTTATTCACGTGTACACAGGACAAAGTTTGAGTTACACGTAATATCTGAGGGAGCGAGCGGAATAGAGAGCAAGCCCGCTGTAAGCCGTGAGATTCGTGCTGGCACCCTCTCGTATTACAATAATGCACTCTCGACATTTGCCATTAAAATAATGCTAAAAACTGCCTCAAATGAACTATAAATACAAGAATAAAGGTGTAAAAGCTGCAATCCATTTCATATTGCCAATAAGAAATGGATTGCAGCTTTTACAACTTTATTGTAACTTTATTTAACCAAAACTAATGAGTTTTATTAACTAAACACTAACACAAACTAGTCTAACAAACATACATACACTCACGTGTGCATACAAAAGGGGAGCTAAAGTGGATGAATGAAGCCATTAGAGAAACCAGAGAATGCAGTTATGGAAAATGAGTCAGAACCACCGGAGTAAAACCATCAGCGCCATTTTAGAACGGGGTCTACAGCTTATACTAAACCTCTGTTTCGTTTAGTTAAATGTACGATACTTGCATTGCCTTGGCCTTGAACAAGCATCCGGATGCAGTCTCAGATGAAAGTCTTGATGGTTTGGAGGTTCGATGGTGTAGGAGTCGCGATCACGTTTTTCCAGGTTTGAAGAGTGATGTTATTCTCCAAAAAGATGTTATTCTGACTCTGTCGTGGCCGGGAGAGTTTTCTTCCTAGAGAGCCGCAGTCCTGCAGAGTTCAGCTCCAACCCTAATCAGACACACCTGAACAAGCTAATCAATGTCTTCAGGATTACTAAGGCTATAGGCAGGTGAGTTTTTTTTTCAGGGTTGGAGCTGAACTCTGTAGGACTGCGGCTCTCTAGGACCGAACTTGCCTACCCCTGACCTAAACCTACCCGTCTC